GGGGGAGAACGGTTTCCTCTGGGTCTCGGCTGGGCCTTTCATGTCAAACCTCCCGGAAATGCAAACGAAGCCCTTTTCATGCCAAGGCCCAGAGTCTAGAGATCAGTGTTCCCTCTAAGCTGAGTTAGTGTGAGCCAGCCCAGTTTTTTAGCCTCCAGCTCACACATTTTTGTCTTCGCTCGGGAAGGAGGGCTCCAGAGCATCCAGAATCGCTCGCTCGCAACTCTAAGGCCGGTGGCTCACAAAGCAGAATTTTTGCTCACAAGACGCCACAGCTTAGAGGGAGCACCGCTTGGGAGCTTAGTGACTTTGCAAAGGGGGGGCATGGGAGAGGAGCGTCTGACTTCCCAAACTGCTCCTCCGCTGCTGTCCTCCGGACAATCCATTCAGCCCCCTCCCTGGGGCGTTGTTGTAAGAGGAGTTCTGTGGGAAGTGGAGGAAAATACAGCTTTCCAGCCAGGTCTGAGGCCCCGGAGAAGCGCTCCGGCTCCAGCCATTCAGCCGCCCGCGACTGATTTAAGAGGAAGCGTGGGCCATCTGGCAGGGAAGGGACTCTCCAGCGTGTGGCTGCCACAAGGTAGGGGGAGCCAGCTGGACAGATGTGCGAGACCAAGGAGAGGCCTGCTTCAGAGATGGGGGAAACGCTGGCTGTCGACTCGGAGACGAGCGAGGAACTAAATCCTGCCTGACAGGTCCTTCTCCGAGGGCCAAGGAGCGCAGAAGGGAAAGGACGAGGAGGGGGCGTTCAGGCTTCACCCCCTCCCCCCAAAAAGGTGGCCGATAAACCGCAAATTGATCACATGCCGCTAAGTTCAGTTCAGCTGTATAAAAGGCACTGGCTTTGATCGTCTCCGAGGGAGAACTACCATTCTTCCAAAGTCCCCGGTCTCAGCTTTGGAAAGACTGTTGTGCGCCCAACCGAGGGTGGCCAGCTCCAGGTTGGGAAATTCCAAGGAATCTGGGGCTGGAGCCCGGGGGAGGCAGGGGTTTAGGGAAGGGAAGGACATCAGCAAGGCAGGGGTCATTTCCTGTGAGAGCGCACAGGAGTGGAGCTCTGGCAGTAAAGAGCCCAAGGGGCGGGCACATGCAACAAGCCCCACCCCCTGCTCCCAGCAGCCCTCAGTCAGAGCAAGAAGCAGCCAGGTAAGCTGCAGAGCCCCCCCCTCCGGCCTAAAACAGTCCAGTGGCACCTTTAAGACCAATTTCTATTCAGGCCCAAGCTCTCCCTCCTCTGCGAGGACAGATCTGCACGTCCCCCCCCCCCAATAGCTAGCAATCCAAAACAGTCTAGTGGAGCCTGTGTGGTGGATGTTGCCTTCTGACACACTTCTGGGGATATCAGGGGGTGTGGCATATGCAAATAAGTTATGCTAATGAGTTATGCTAATAAGCTCCTGCACCTCTTTTTCTACGAAATGACCCTGCAGCAAGGTATAATGCCATAGAGTCTGTTCTCCAAAATAGCCATTTTTCTCCAGGGGGACTGATCTCTGCCATCTAGAGACCAGTTGGAATCAATGCTCCCTCTAAGCTGTGGGGTCTTGTGAGCAAAAATTCTACTCTGTGACCCGCTGGCATTAAAGTTGTGAGTGAGCGATTTGGCTGCTGCATCCATTGGTTTGCTCTGGAGCCGGAGGCTAAAAAACTGTGAGCTAGCTCACACTAACTCAGCTTAGAAGGAAACACTGGTTGGAATTCCTGGAGAACTGCAGGCCCCATCTGAAGAATATGGAGAACCGGAGAAGCCTTCTACAGAGTTGTTTGACTTCTGCACTGAAGCACTGTGAGCTTTGGTTCCAGGAAAAATAATTTGCCTGAAGAAGAATTTCTCGAAACACGCAACTTTTGCCTGGGAGGCGTGTCGCTTTGATGCTTGCTGTATCTCTTTTCAGAAAGCAAAACAGCCTATGATATTGGCGTTGACGACTGCCGCATCTCTCATCAGAAAGCAAGACAGTCTACAGCACTGAATCCTGTCTGCATAGTTGTTTCTGCAGCTGTGGACTTTTTACAAGATATATATTGTACTTTAGGTTTTTGTTATCAATGTACTATAATAAGATACACTAGGGTCTTTATCAGGAGTCATTTCGTAGAAAAAGAGGTGCAGGAGCTCATTAGCATAATCATTAGCATAATTTATTTGCATATGCCACACACCCTGATATTACCGGAAGTGTGTTGGGAGGCAACACCCACCACTCAGGCTCCACTGGACTGTTTTGGATTGCGCGACGGGGGGGGGGGGGGGACATGCAGATCTGTCCTCGCAGAGGAGGGAGAGCTTGTACCTGAAAAAAACTTGGTCTTAAAGGTGTTACTGGACTATTTTGGACCGGGGGGCCGGGGGGAGCTCTGCAACTTACCTGGCTGCTTCTTGCTCTGACTGAGGGCTGCTGGGAGCAGGGGGTGGAGCTTGTTGCATGTGCCCGCCCCCTGGGCTCTTTATTGCCGGAGCTCCGCTCCCGTGCGTTCCTGCAGGAAATGACCCCACCTAATTGTTGGAAGTAAAGGCACTGTCCCCTGCCTTAGACCTCCAGAAGCAAGTGGCAAGAGAGACTAGATAGCTAGATAGGCACACACTGACCTATCCTTCCCGTGTTTACTCTTGCTGTCACTGTCCTCTTTGAAATGCAGATTGTGTTCTCAGGGACTAATTTCCCTTCCTTCCATTCTCTCACTCTCATGAAGACGACCTCTCTCCCTGCACACACCAAGAGGGACAACGTGCTGTCCTCTCTTGGCACCCTGAGGCAGATGGGCCCCTTGCCATCTGCTTCCATCCTTCGCTAGTAAGTTAGTACTCTATCCTGTCCCTACTCTTTCCGATCCAAAGTGTACTTCCCCAATAAAGAGAGAAGTATTTCTCTGTTAAACTTGCAGCATGGCTCTGTGTCGCTTTGTAACCTGGGTAACCTGGTAGACTGACACTACTGCTTTTGTAGCTTTTATTGAAGCACTCTACTAACTACTTGGGACTGGACTAACCACACCAGTTGACCCCAACACTAATCCGGGTGAGTCTCCAGCGTGTCCTCGGTTCCATCAGAGGACTCTTTGAACCGTAGTTGATCGGCTTCTCCGTTAGGCCATGAGCTCCTCCCTTCCCATCTTCTCTTTTTGCACTGAAATCCTACCTGATGCAGAAACTCAAAATTGTGCTGTTTTGTGATATCTTGGGTAGTCCTGATGACAAGATATTAAAGCAAATGGGTTGGGAGGGGGGTTGGAGTTTTTCTGCAAACCAACACAGTTCCCTCCAATCTCTGGGATGATTCACACATTTCAAAGTCCTTAGGACACCTCGTGCAGGTGCGATAGAGTGCAAGAACGGAATGCGATTGGTTCTTCCAGGGGGATGTGCCACAGGAGGCAGGAAAAGGACGCTAAGGTGTCCTCTTCTTACGAGATTGCAGGGGAGAATTACCCGCGGGCCTCAGACTCACCCGTTGCTGGATAAGTGCGTGTTTGTGCTCCATTTCCCGCTTCTCCACTGCGGAGTCGATCACCAGCTGGTCCAGCTACAAAGCAAGGGAGAGAAGAAACAAATGCCGGTCATGATTGCTTGGAATTCCATGGACCTGATAATCTTCCTCCCAACCATATGAATGCTCGAGACAGGGATCCCAGACCTTTGTGAGTCTGACATAGAATAGTGGGCGCAGCCACAAAACCCCACCTAAGAGTCTACAGCAGGAGAAGGGTGTATTCCGTTCAAAAGGAAGCGCTCCAGCAATGCTCCCTCTAAGCTGTGGAGTCTTGTGAGCAAAGATTCTACTTTGTGAGCTCCTGGCATTAAAGTTGTGAGCGAGCCATTTGGCCGCTGCATAAATCAGTTTGCTCGGGAACCCTCCTTCCTGAGCTAAGACAAAAATGTGTGAGCTGGAAGCTAAAAAACGGTGAGCTAGCTCACACCAACTCAGCTCAGAGGGAACACTGCTCTCTAGTAGTTGTGTCTGGGAAGTTCTCTAGCAAAATATTGGCTGTAAAATCACAGCGATTCTTGAAAAAGAGGAAACTGAAACAGGAGGATATCTGTGGCTTCCTATCGGGTCGCCCGATTCTTTGCGAATGGGTTTTGATCGTCATGCAGCTGAGACACGTTGAAGTATCACGTCTCAGACTTTATCATGAGTGAGACTTTCTTCTCAAGAAGACGGTGTACAATTCGATAGTGACTACAGAATAAAGGTAAAGGTTCCCTTGCTCGAAAGCCAGTCGAATCCAACTCTAGGGTTGCGGTGCTCATCTCCGTTTCAAAGCCAAAGAGCCAGCGCTGTCCGAAGACGTTTCCGTGGTCATGTGGCCGGCATGACTAAACACCAAGGGGCACGGAACGCTGTCACCTTCCCACTGAAGTGGTACCTATTTATCTACTTGCAATTTCTTGCTTTCGAACTGCTAGGTTGGCAGGAGCTGGAACCAGAGACTGGATCATTCTCAGCTCAAACCAAGCCCTCCCACCCTGTTGTGTTTCCCCAGTGGAACGATGTGACACTATCATGCTTGGGAACTGCCCAGCATCTGCTCTGCTTCATCAGCTGCTGTTAGGATTACCTCCATACTATTATGGGGTTATTATTTTCATATTGCAGAGGAGAAGAGTAGGCCTAAAAACACAGGAGAGGAAGAAGAGGAGAGAATCTTGTAGGTCACCTGGAGCTCTCTGAAGGAAGGACGAGGTTTCAAGAACAAATAGATGACCTCGCCTGCAATGTGTAGGAATCAGGGCTATTTTTGGGCAGGAACGCACAGGAACGGAGTTCTGACTGGCTCCTGAGCTAGCCGCACCCAGCAGGAACTCATTAGCATAATAGGCCACACCCAAGAGCAGAAACTCATTAGGATTGGCTACATTAGGGGTGTGTGGCCTAACATGCAAAGGAGTTCCTGCTACAAAAAAAGCCCTGGGTTTTGACAACAAGGTAAACAGAATAAGAAGCAAAAGGTGGGTGTGGCTGGATGACCACACTTCTGGTAACATGGGGGTGCGGCCTAATATGCTAATGGGCTGTGCTGTCGAGGGTGTGGCCTAATATGCTAATGAGTGTCTGCTGTTGGGTGTGGCCTATTATGCTAATAAGTTCCTGTTGGGCTTTTTTGTGTAGGATAACAATACTGACCTACCCTATAGGCAGTATTCCCGCTAAGCTGAGTTAGTGTGAGTTAGCTCATAGTTTTTTAACCTCCAGCTCACACATTTTTGTCTTCGCTCAAGAAGGATGGCTCCAGAGCAAATTGATTTATGCAGCGGCCAAATCGCTCGCCCACAACTTTAATGCCAGGAGCTCACAGAGTAGAATTTTTGCTCACAAGACGCCACAGCTTTGAGGGAGCACTGACTACAGGGCTGTTGTACGAGATTGCTGCCGTAAGGCAAGTCAGTGGTTTTAAGATGTCTACCTCTGCTGGTCTGCCGGTGAACCCCTGCACAGCAGACCCCTGTCTGCGGCCGGTAATTCCGAGAAGTGTTCTATGGAGCCTGCAATTCAGATGGGCTCCTGACCCACATCGTTACTGGGTAGGATGTCATGTGATTCTGCAGCCCGACCAACAGTCAAGTGCGGACTGATGCCAGCGGTCGCCCGTGCCCTCAGCAGGGCCGAAGGTGTCAAGAGATGGAAACCATGCTGGCAGCTCCCCAAAGAATCACAGCCACATAAGGACACCTGAGGATTACTATTCCAACAGTGGGTGATCACTTGGCTTAAATTGACACAGGGGATATGTGCATTTGCCTTGGAGACCCAAGTCCGAGTCCGTCTGGCCTAAAGGCGAAGGCCTCGGCTAGTTTCATTAAAACCTAGGCCCAGAGGCAGTCAGCATCAATCGGACCTCTAGGCTCAGAGGCAAAGGCCTCCGTCAGTTTAGATAACATCTCGGTCGCTAGACCTGGAGGCAGACGCCAGCCGGCATTATGGGTAGGGGAGAGGGGGCAAGGACAGAGAGGAATGATATCACGTTGCCAGCATGATGCCAACAAGACGATCTAGGATCCAGAGTCCTAGATCATCCCGTCCGTGTGTCACACCAGCATTGTGACATCACTTCCTGGTATTTCCAGGAAGTGACATTGCAACATTGGCGTGACACTACTTTTTAAATAAAAGTTCCCCAGAGGGCTGGTGGGCGACAGAGAAGGTTACTTGGAGGTCCCCCTAATTATGGGTCCTCGTGGTTTGCATCTGAAGTCTCTCCAAGTATGGATTTGGGGGGGCTTGGGGGGCCGCTCGCAATCACAGCTGGAATCTCTTACACTTTGCGGCACGCATGAACTACATCCGTGAGAGCATAGCTTGGCCGATGAAGCCAGGGGTTTCTTACCTCGGTGGCCAGTTTCTTCATGTAGGGGTCCAGTTCGTGGAGGAGGCTGTAACCTTGCTGGAAAAAGGTATACTGGGCGTGCATAAAGGAAAGCATCTGGAGAAACCGGAAAAGGAAAAGGAGGTCAGAATGCGAGCGAAAAGAAATGGGGGGCAGGCGGCCCTCTCTCACACAAGACACCTTCCCTTCAGTGGGACTATTCGCTCGGCGAATCCTCGCTTAGCCAGTGAAGCTCACTCCCCAGCATCCTTTGTGAAGTCATAACGGAAGCGGAGGGCAACACGGCTACGATCGCGCGCTGCAGCCAAGGTGCACCGCATTGCAGCCTCACATTCAGGGGTCATTTCCTGCAGGAGCGCACAGGAGCAGAGCTCCGGCAGTAAAGAGCCCAGGGGGCGGGCACATGCAACAAGCCCCCCCCCTGCTCCCAGCAGCCCTCAGTCAGAGCAAGAAGCAGCCAGGTAAGCTGCAGAGCCCCCCCCACTGGCCCCCTGGTCCAAAACAGTCCAGTGGCACCTTTAAGACCAAGTTTTATTCAGGCACAAGCTCTCCCTCCTCTGCGAGGACAGATCTGCACACACACACACCCATAGCTAGCAATCCAAAACAGTCCAGTGGAGCCTGAGCGGTGGGTGTTGCCTTCTGACACACTTCCGGTGATGCCAGGGGGTGTGGCCTATGCAAATAAGTCATGCTAATGAGTTATGCTAATGAGCTCCTGCACCTCTTTTTCTACAAAATGACCCCTGCTCACATCACATATGCTGGAGTGCGCCTGGATAAGACTGCACAATCCTGTGCACAAGCCCAGGACTGCAGACCCAGGCTCCCTTGTAATTAAGGTTGCCAACCCTGGCTTGAAAAATTCCCAAAGGTTTTGGGGATAGAACCTGGACAGAGCATCGTTTGGGGAGGGAACTCCGCAGGGATGTGAGGCCACAGAGGTGCCCTTTCCTCCAGGAGAACTGATCCCTGGAGATCGGTTGTGATTTCTGGAGAACTCCAGGCCCTACCTGGAGGTTGGTAACCCTAGGATGCTGCAAGGGACCTTGGGATACAATCAGGAGTGGCATCAGGTCATGAATCGGTCATGGCCCCTAGTCCACCTTTCCTTCTTCAGTTGTATTTGACTGTACCTATTTCCCCCCCAGAAGGAATCCATCGATTGGAATCACTATGGGCAGGGGTCATTTCATAGAAAAAGAGGTGCAGGAGCTCATTAGCATAACTTATTAGCATAACTAATTTGCCTATGCCACGCCCCCTGAAATCCTCGGAACTATGTCAGAAGGCAACACCCACCGCTGGATCTTTTTGGTTTCGGGCCTTGGGGGGGGGGGGGAACGTGCAGATCTCACAGAGGAGGGAGAGCTTGTACCTAAATACAACTTGGTCTTAAAGGTGCCACTGGACTGTTTTGGATTGCTAGCTATGGGGGGGGGACGCGCAGATTTGCCCTCACAGAGGAGGGAGAGCTTATACCTGAGCCCGGGGGGGCTCTGCAACTTACCTGGCTGCTTCTTGCTCCTCATGGCCCAACTGAGGGCTGCTGGGAGCAGGGGGTGGGGCTTGTTGCATGTGCCCACCCCCTGGGCTCCTTACTGCCGGAGCTCCGCTCCTGTGCGCTCCTGCAGGAAATGACCCCTGACTATGGGATCAGCACAGCCACCTTGCCAACTCCAGATGAAGGAATTCCTGCAGATTTTGGGGGTGCAACTTGGGGAGGGCAGGTTTTAGGGAGAGGATGCCACAGAGTCCATCCTCCAAAGCAGCCATTTTCTCCAGAGGAGCATAAGCAAAAAGAACTGTGTACCAACACTGTATATAAAACCCAAATATTTTAAGCAAATTAATGCACGCTGTAATACTGTATGCGCATAAGGACTGCACCATACAGATGAAATATACAGAATATCTTCTTCAGAGGATGCACAAAAGTGTGAGTAGAGTCGTTTCCAAGTCACACTATTAGAAACAACTCCTTTAGCTGTTCAAACTAAGTACACAAAAAATTCTTTCACCGTGCCGGTCATCCTTCTTTCACTGGCATGAATGCTAGCTTATCCCAAACACATCTCCCATATGCTTCCTCAAAGAACAGATCTGAGTAAATTTTGCTCCAGGCGGATACTCTGTAAAGCTAAAAACCCTAGAAATTACATATCTTTTCATACTGTCATCAAGAACCCATTCTTACAATAGGAACAGCATTCCCTGTTGCAATTTCTACTGGGACACAGTCCCCTGAAGTGGATCACGCTGGAAAGCTGTGTCGTCCAACCTTCCTGCAAAGCCTCCTACGAAGGGCCCACCAGGTGTTCTTGATGACAGTTTACAAAACCACTTGTAACCAAATTTAAAGGAACAGTCATAGCAGGAAATACTTCCTTTGTACATCCTTTGAAGAAGATATTTGGGGTACTTACCTGTATGCTACTGTCCTGTGCATACAGTATTACAGTGTGCATTAATTTGCTTAAAATAATAATAAGAATATTTGGATTTGATTTACAGTGCTGGCACACAGTTCTTTTTGTTGACTGTTCTCACTACTGTGTAGCTCACCTTTGTTGTTGGTTGTTTTCTCCGACATCCGGAGATCGGTTGTCATTCCAGCCTTCAGGCCTCACTTGGAGGTAATGAGCTTATTTTATTTATTTATTTATTTATTTATTTATTGGGATTTTTTACCCTGCCCTCCCCGCAAAGCGAGCTCAGGGCGGCTTACAAGGGGCAAAGCCCATATATAACAAGGTAAAAACTGTCCAATCAGAAAGCGTGGCTGCCTTTGCCTGCATTCATGAACTTCCTGGATTCTCCGATGGGCCAAGGTCCCAGGAAGGGGCGGTCACTTCTTGCTGTCAAGCAGAGGTCATTTCGGGGGGGATCGCGGGGAATCGCAGTTTCCCCGGGTGAGGTACGGGGGGCGGGGCACATGACGACGGTGGCCAGGGAGGGCCTTCACGGGGCTTCCTTGCACTCCCGCCAGCCTTGCAGGTCCACCGCCGGGCCCCTCATGGGGCTCAGCAGTGGAGCTGCAAGGCCGGCGGCGGTGGCCGGGACCGTTGGGGGCGGGGTGTGTGGCCTTATGACACACTTCCGGTGATGTCAGGGGGTGTGGCATATGCTAATGAGTTATGCTAATGAGTCCCCCTAGCTCTTTTTCTACGAAACGACCCCTGCTGTCAAGTCACAGCCGAGTTAACAGCAACCCCATATGGCTTTCAAGGCAAGTGGTGACTCGCCATTGCCTGCCTCTGCACGGTGGTCTGCCATCCAAACATGGACCACAGCCAACCCTGCTTAGCTTTCGAGATCTGACAAAATCAGGCTAGCCTGGGCTACCCAGGTCAGGTTTATTAACCGCATACACCACCCCATTCCAAGGGCAAGAGTGTGCTTATTATTCTACCCTAACTCGGGCTCCAAAGGCTGATATGGATCCAACGCACCAAGGGAACAGAATTCCAAAGTTGAGGAGCAGCCATCGAGAAGAACATCTTACGGAGACTCTTTGTAGCTCTGATCTGGTGCATGTCTGGGCAGCGTCCTTAAGCGAGCTGGTCTGACTGATCCTACAGATTGTGTTGCCAGCATGGTGCAGCGGTAAAATTCTCAGACTATTATCTGGGAGACCTTGAGCCAGCCATTCTTCTGACTTAAGAACATAAGAGAAGCCATGTTGGATCAGGCCAATGGCCCATCCAGTACACCTCTCTGTGTCACACAGGGGCTAAAACCCGGGTGCCATCAGGAGGTCCACCAGTGGGGCCAGAACACCAGAAGCCCTCCCACTGTTGCCCACCCGAGCACCAAGAAGACAGAGCGTCACTGCCCCAGACAAAGTGTTCCATTTATACCTTGTGGCTTATAGCCACTGATGGACCTCTGCTCCATATGCTTATCCAACCCCCTCTTGAAGCTGTTTATACTTGTAGCCACCACCACGTCCTGCAGCAGTGAATTCCACGTGTTAATGACACTTTGGCTGAAGAAGGACTTCCTTTTATCTGTTCTATCTTTTATCTGTGATCTGATTTTTATGAGTTATCTGGGCGGGTGTTGTGAAGATAAAATGGAGGAGGGAAGAAGGACGTTGTGAGTCACTATGAGTCCCCGTCGGGGAGGGGAAAGCATGGTATAAATATTGGAACAAAAAGTTGTAGAACAAAAGAAACCGGGGAGTTCTTTCGAAGAGGGGGCCTAAACCTTGACTGAAGCCAGGAAGGTAACCGAGTTTTGTTCTTATGGAAAGGGTGGCTTATACATAATCTAAATAAATGAATGAATGAGCCCACTTGCGGGGAGGGCGGGGTAAAAGTGGAATAAATAAATAAATAAATAAATAATAAAGGAGTTTGGTGCAGACCCCAGGAACATGGGCGACTTGAGTTACTGACAGCCTTTCCCCATTATAAAGCAGACTGCAGGCTGTGGTCGTTCTTAACTTTGTATGCATGTATTATTAATTCAGCGCCCCGATTCACGCTTCATAAATAATATAAATAAATGCGTGAATGTATAGAGACTTCGTCAAATCCACGGAGCTTTGGTTTGTGGCTCTCTGAAGAAATAAACAACAAATAGCCAGGGAAGAAGGTGCAGTTTGGAGGAGTGCCCTCTTCCCCCGGCCACTGGCTGTCTTTATTCAGAGAACTTCACTTTAGCACCGATAGGTTTAATTATCCTGGTATGGCTCTGCAAGGCATACTGGGACCTGTGGTTCAGGGGGCGGTAGTTATCTAGGAATCTTCCAAAAATAGGGATGCCAGCCTCCAGGTGGGACCTGGGGATCTCCTGGAATTACAGCTCACCTTCAGACTACGGTGAACAGTTCCCCGGGAGAAAATGGATGCTTTGGAGGGCGGACTCTATGGCTTTAAGGCAGGGGTGTCAAACATAAGGCCCGGGGGCCAGAACCGGCCCGTCCAGGGCTCCTCTGTGGCCCGCCGGCAAATAGAACAACTAGTGCAAGGGAGGGAACAGGAGACTGCTGGGGGAGGGGAGTGGGTGGAGCCACTCTGATTGTGGCTTCAGCATGGCAGAACAACCTCGTCTGCAGCAGTCAAGCCGCCTGGGAACATCTGCCCAGTGCTGCACGGCTGGCTCTCCAGACTACCCATGTGGGTTTTCCTTTGCACACACACCCTCCCAGCCCAGGGGGCCTTGCAGTGAGGATACACCAACTTGGAGCTTACCAGCTGCTGTCCTTTATACAGTTTCTATCTCCAGTACCTGATATTATGTTTACGACACACATGGCCCAGTTGACAAAGTGACGTTTATGTCACATCCGGCCCTCATAACAAATGAGTTCGACACCTTTGCTTGAAGGTCTTTATGGCATCGTATCCCACGGAGGTCCCTGTCCTCCCCAGGCTCCATCCCCAAATCTCTAGGCGTTTCCCAAACTGGATCTGACCACCCCCACTCACACCCCACTGGTGGCCAGGGGGAACCTGGCAAGTCTATTTCTAAAATACCAGGTAAAGGGCTATTTCTAAAATACCGGGTAAAAAGGTAAAGGTAAAGGTTCCCTTGCTCGAAAGCCAGTCAAATCCGACTCTAGGGTTGCGGTACTCATCTCCGTTTCCAAGCCGAAGAGCCAGCGCTGTCCGAAGACATTTCCGTGGTCATGTGGCCAGCATGACTAAACACCAAGGCGCACGGAACGCTGTTAAAATACCGGGTAAACCGGCTTAAATATTTTCCATCTCTTTAATTTCACTGCTCTTGGCGAGGAGATGGGTGATCGCGAAGGCATAATCTTAAGTCTTACCGCATCCAGAATTTCAAACTTCTTCTTGGCCTGGAGTACGTTGATCTGAGCAAGAGAACAAAAAACAGAGCTTCCATTAGTTGCCAGCCGAACAGAGACCAACCCGTTGGGCCTGTGGCTGCGCTTTCAGTGTAGTGGTTAAGTGTGTGGACTCTAATCTGGGAGAACCGGGTTTGATTCCCCACTCCTCCACTTGCACCTTGGGTCAGTCACAAGCTCTGGCACAGCTGTCCTTGAAAAAGAGCAGTTTGTGTCAGAGTTCTCTCAGCCCCACCCACCTCACAGGGTGTCTGGTGTGGGGAGGGGAAGGGAAAGGAGTTTGTAAGCCGCTCTGAGACACCTTTGGGTAGTGAAGGGCAGGGTATACAACCGTAAAGCCAGTTGGACTCTAATCTGGGAGAACCGGGTTTGATTCCCCACTCCTCCACTTGCACCTGGCTGGATGACCTTGGGCAAGCCATAGTTCTGATAAGAGCTGTTCTTGAAAAAGAGCAGTTTCTGTCAGAGGTCTCTCAGCCCCACCTACCTCCCAGGGTGTCTGTTGTGGGGAAGGGAAGGGAAAGGAGTCTGTATACCGCTCTGAGACACATTTGGGTAGTGAAGGGCGGGGTATAAATCCAACCTCTTCTTCTTCTCTTCAGTCAGGTGGGCAGCTACGTTGGTCTGAAGCAACAGAACAAAGTTGGAGACCAGTGGCATCTTTAAGACCGACAAAGTTTTATTCATGGTATAAGCTTCCACGTGCACGCACTGTGCATGCACACAAAAGCTTATACACAGAATTAAACTTTGCTGGTCTTAACGGTGCCACTGGACCCCGACTTTGTTCAGCAGCAGCGTGAGAACTGCAGGGACTTTGATGTTAAAGGCACAAGAACTAAAGTGGTAACAAAAGGTGGCAACCATATACGTTTCCCACATACAAACCTCATACCCTGTTCAAGGTTGGTAACCCTCAGGTAAGAACAGAAGCTAAATTCTATTCACTAACAACAGGGCATAGAGGCCGAGGCCTTCCCCTGCTGCTGCCTGCTGCTGCTGGGATTCCAAAGTTAAGGAGGAGGAGGAGATTGGATTTATACCCTTCCCTTCACTACCCGAAGGAGTCTCAGAGCGGCTTACAATCCCTTCCCCTTCCCTTCCCCACAACAGACACCCTGTGAGGCAGGTGGGGCTGAGAGAGCTCTCTCGAGAACTGCCCTTGAGAGAACAGCTCTAAAAGAACTTCTGACTGACCTAAAGTCACACCAGCAGCTGCCTGTGGAACAGTGGGGAATCAACCACGGCTCTCCCAGATTAGAGTCCATGCTCCTAACCCCTACACCAAACAGGCTCTCCTTTACTGCCTTTGAACATGGAGGGGGTTCCCTTTAGTCACTACGGCTAGTAGCCACTGATATACCTATACTCTATGAACCCGTCTGATCCCCTTCTAAAGCCGTCTATGCCTGTGGCCATCAACACATCCTTTGGCAGCAACTTCCACGTTTTAATAACCACTGTTCTTTAGTCACAATCATTCTGAGCTGAAACACGTACCCAGCACCCCTTCAAGTGCAAAAGATGACTCTGGATTGGAAAGGATTAAGCAAAATTGTCCTGGTATTCCCCGTTGCCACCTATTAGGGTGGCAAGAGTGGTCCCACAGCGCCATCTGGTGTCCGGATGACAACATTACTCTTCACTGTCTCACGCACATCAACAATGCTTTCTTAAACGGAATCGCACTATTAAAAGCCCATTAACTTCCGTGGACTTAGAATGATGTAACTCTGCTTAGGACTGCGGTGCAAAAGCAAAACAATGCCTTCTGTTGGGGATCCATGACCAGGTCTCCCGATGTGTAGCTAAGCCTTGGGGGAGGACTGGGGCCATGCAGTAGAGACGAACGCCTTAACTGGGGATATTCAAACTTCTCCTTCGTTGTACATCTTTTCATTCTCAGATGCTGTAGAACGTTTGCCCGTTTGAACTGCTAAGTGAGGCGCCTCCACGTTCAGAGGCAGAATACTTCTCAAAAATGGACAACAGAACATGAACACACAGGAGGCTGCCTTGTATTTAATCAGATCAAGGTCAGTACAGTCTACTCAGACTGGCAGCGGCTCTCCAGGGTCCTGGGCAGAGATCTTGCATATCACTCACTCCCTGGTCATTTTTAACTGGAGATGCCGGGGATTGAACCTGGGACCTTCTGCATGCCAAGCAGAGGCTCTTCCACTGAGCCACGGCCGCTCCCCAAACGCACCTGAAGCCACCTTCTGCTGAATCAGACCACTGGTCCATCAAAGTCAGGATAGTCTATTCAGACTGGCAGCAGCTTTCCAGGGTTGAGGTCTTTCACTGTCACCTCCTGCCTGGTTTTTTTTTCAACTGGAGATGCCGGGGATTGAACCCGAGACCTTCTGCATGCCAAGCAGAGGTTCTTCCACTGAAACACAGCCCTTCCCCACCATCCTGGAGATGTCCAGCTGGCTGCTGTTAGGAACGGGATGCCGGGCTGCAAGGGAGTCCCTTCTGATCCCACAAGGCCGTTCCTACACAGACTCCTGACACAGACTGTGTCAAACAAAAATCAGCTGGCGCAGAATTACCTTTACTCCAGCGAACTAAACGGCAGCCATCTCCCCACCCCACCCCCCCGGCTTCCCCATCACTCCACCGATGACCTATACAGTCACGGAAGAGCATCTCCCTTTCTTCCCCTTCCCGGTGATCAACAGGATATGACAGCGTAAACCATCCCAGGATGAGACAGAAGGTGTTGGCAGATGGTTCCACTTTAAGGGGGGCGGGGAGAGCAGAAGGAGGGGGGCTAATGGAACAGCTTGGATCAATATTAGCTTTGACTCTGCCCTTGCCGCAAACCCATTAGTAGGGATACGGGAGGGCCTTTCGTCCAGCGGCGAATATGGGAGAATAAGTCCGGAAACTGCTTAAGGGAGAATGATTCCCCATTCCCCC